CTGTGACACTGGGTATTTCAGAGATAGTCAGAAGACGATTAAAATAAAAGGCAATATAAAATCAAATAGCTAGGAATACTTGAAGCTTGTGAGTGGAGTGGCAAAGTTATTAAGAGGGAAAAAAAAATAAGGAAGCTTCAAGCCATGAATTCCCAAAGTTAGAAGGGAGATACAAATTCAAATTTCTTGATGCTCTCTGAAGACCAGTTTAGAAATTCAGTCTATTGATTTGCATGGAAAAACCCATGAACAGGGTAAGTGTTAAAAGCACATGGATATATGCACATTCATAGTTTTCAGGAAAGTCTAAAATTAGCATGTACGCATATCTAAGTGGCACATACCTATGACCATTTACCTAATGCCTCACAGATTATTATTATCGTAAGTACAGCACACCACAAACTACATGTGGGAACCTGAACTCCACCTCTCAGCTACACACTTGTTTGACAACCCACCCTCACCTTGTCACCGTAATTTTTAGTATAATATTTAAAAATGGGGTAAAAGAAGGTTGTAAGCCGTAAGAATTAAAGTATGCTACAGTGTTGTTATGACAGTAGAAAAAATAAAAGGTTACATATTATTTAGTGTGTCAAGTTTGTTGCTACTGCTGCTGCTTTGCTTCCTTGGTAATGCGCTACAGCAAATATATCAAATCCTTCTTAAGCCAGGAAGACAAATAAAGCATATATATGAATTTCAGAGGGGTCCAATAAGCAAGTCTGTATGACGTCTTAGAAAAGAGTGACCATCTAACAGGAAGGGAAAGGAGACACACAGTTTTCTAGGAGGGAAATAAAACTGAATGTTTACTATCAGAAATATGCCAAACACCAACTGTACTGCATTCCATGACAACAAAAAGAGAAAGCTATTTGCTAAGGTCAATTTTTTTTTTCCTGAAGAAGCATCAGCAGCAGGCAAAGTTCTCACTAAAACAGAGCAACTCTGGAATAACCGAGCTACAGAATAAATTGACCCTTCAGTTCTCCATCTTGGGCCAGCTTCAAATGTTTATTCCACCTATTTAGCATCAGCCATAGAAAAACTACAAAGTTTTGCTCTGAATCAGGCAAAGAAACTATATGCACAAGTCCTAGCCATCAGACTACACAGTCTCTCTTCTCCATGAACAGAAACGTTCGGGATTTTTCTCAGACTAAGCAGGCCTTTAAAATAACCCACTCCATCAAAAGTTTTTCCTTCTGCCACAAAACACATTTTCTTTTAAACAAAAAATTTCTTGTGATAACAGATCCTTCCCTGTTATCTCCAGTCAAGAGTAGTGCTAATTTGAAGTAAAGTTGGCAACTGTAAGCTTTAAACAACTTTTGTTTAAACCCTATACATCTCAATTTTCATTCCACTTTTAGAGACACAGCTTATTAGAGATCTTCCTTACTCTTGTGATTCATTTAATTCGAGCAAAGCAAAATAAGCTAATTTCAAGTTATTTTCCTATCCAAAATTTGCACGTTAATAAAACAGAAAATAATATTCAAACCCTAACACAAGCTTTACGGAGTTTTTGAAAATGGAAGCATTTCTACTGATCACAGATTGCTGCAAAAGCGTGACACCTACTTGAACTAAAGATTATTTATTTCCTTTCTTTTCTCTCCATGTAAATGCACAGCCACAGCAACAGAATAAGCTTAAATCTTTACAACCAACCTTTTAACACTTTGAAGGGAAAGTATGCATGTCGCCTCCCCGCTACATTTCAGTGTAGAAGGCTGTTTACAGACATATAATTCACAAACAAGGTTAAGTTTGGGTATGGTAATTCTCTCAAGTTCTTTGGTTCTCTAAAATTTATTGCCAAAGACTCACACCTACAATAAAAGGAAAGAGAGCTGAACCTTTAAAGGTCTTCTCTCCCACTGGTTCAATTAAAAAGTTCTGAACAATTCAGCTGAAGCCTCTTCTTTCTCAACTGTGCTACTGTAGAGCAAGTGAAATCTCCGGTTTTAGTCTCGCCGTCCCCACCATCCAATACAGACCTGTTCTGATGAGTATTCCAGCACTGGACATAAGGAAGAGTAAAAGAAAAAATCCATACTTCTTTTAATTTACCTTCTTGCCTCATCTTTTAAAATGAAGTATGAGAACTAAGGCTTCCTGCAGAACACTGAGGAAGGAGCAAGGTCCTCTGTCAAACCTGAACACCTCCAAAAGTCTTATGACATGCCTAGGTATGAGAAGTGTATGGAGTCAAACTGTAACAGTCGATTTTTTAACCTTTTAAAGCCAACACATTCTCTAGTACAGCCACAGCCCTAAAACCTAGTTTTACAGTGACTTAGCAAAAAACCAAACAAAACTAAGGAAAACCCACCTTCATTTCTACTTAGGGCTCAAGTTCCTTATATGAAGATGAATCAACTAAAGCACACTTCGTTCTGCATAAGGATCTAGAATGTTGGCAGACTTGGGGGTACACTGGTGTTCTAATTCCAATCACTGCTCTTTATTGTATGATCCCCTTTCTACATATAGATACGGTTCACAAGCAACAGGGATTACATCAATTCTGTGAATCAAATATTAATGGTCACAACAGTCAAAAGATCTTTCAGGAAATGTTTTAGAAACAGTCAAAGTTAATGAGAGCGCTTCGAATAACTTAATCATAACTTCTATCAAAAAAAGTTTTTCCTTCTTGCACTGTATCAAAATGTAAATTAAAAAAGCAAACTATTTCGTAACACAGAGTAACTTCATATTTGAAGGTAAACTACAACCAGGTTCCTTCTGCTTGAAACCCTATACACTTGCAGTACTATTTAGCAGAAAGCTAGATAAACGCTAACCTCTTGCCCTTTGCAAGGTTCAAAGTCCAAAAGCTGAAGTGTTATTGCAATAACATCACATCGTTCAGCATACATTATATAACAAAATCACCATGAGTTCTTTTGCACTTTGGAGTCTTCCCGAGAATCTGAAGAAAAAGCAGTTGAAAAAGGTAGCGGTTTTGACATATCCTGAGCATATAAAGCAGAAAAACAATTCTAGGTATTTCAGCTGTTTCCCTGACTATGTTTACCCAAAATACGAAAGGAGGTGATTGTGGAAGAGTTGATATGAAAAGAGGTCATTGTGGAAGAGTTGATAGCATCACATAGGGCATTATCATCAGTTACTGTGTAATACTACTGCTCAAACATGCACAGGAACAAAAACCAAAACAAAAAAGCATGCCAAGTCTCATTCAAGTTCATTTATAATACGGTCTGCAAATAGTTCTCCTTGCAGGACAGAATTTCCTCCCAATACTAAACAATAAATAGAAGTAACTTCCCCAGAAGTTACTGATGAACAATCACTGTCCCACTGTTTTAGCCACACATTTTAAGCAGAAGGATCTCATTAGAATGGAGGGGGGAAAAAAAAGGAATGTAAAGTACATTAACTTGCGAAGTACTAACAAAGCTAAATAGCTACACAATTTCCCTATATCATTTTACAGCTGTAATTCCACTTAAGCTTTGCTGAAAGTTTAAATTCTGCTTACTCTTAAAAGCTTCCACAGTTTTTTCACACAGCAGAGCAGCCTACGCCATTCAAGACAACTTCTCAATACAAATGTACCCATTTTAGGATTCTACCAGAATAAACGCATCAGTAAAAGAGCCAAGCTGCTGACAGTTATTCCAGTACAAAAGCTATGTTTACATCAGGGCTTAAAGTTTAAGCTCTTGGGGGCAAGGACCTTATCTCCATGGTTGTCTGCAAACCACTTTACAGACTGTCAGCACTATACAAATAAGAACCAAAGAAGCAATTAAAGTGGACCAGCATGCTAGGCATTTTCTCCTCAATGGGTGTCACCCAAGTATTAATTTTGTTTAGGGTACAAGGGCACAGCCGTAAAACACGCCTGAATCCTTGTCAAATACATATGCATACAAGTAAGAAAAATTGCACTTCCCAAATGCAAACATGGTGAAAAGAAAAAAATAATTATCCTACCAGCAAACAGAGAGATGTAAAGACAGAGTTAATTTAATGAAGCTAAAAAGCAAACTCTTCAAAAGACGTCACCCAAAATAGTAAGTGGGGGATTCCGCTCCTTGATTTCAGTGAGAGCGTCTTGTCAAGAGGTAGAAGTACCTCACAGCAGTGAAAGTTAGTAGCTTGAAAAAGACACATCACTTTTTCTATGAGTTAAGAAGTGATGTATACAAGCAAGTACTTGTATTACTCTTGTTTATGACCATACAATAGACAAAAATCAAATGAAATGGCCACTCATGCCTGAACTCTTTCCATTTATCAAATACTTTCAAATAAAACACAGATTAATCCAACTAAAGGAATGAGGAAGATCATTCTTCTCTGTTGGTTTGGTTCCTTCACACGTGGCTCAGTTCATTCAGTCAATTCCTAGCCACACTGAGACTCGATGTAGAAGAGTCGCAAGCCACAGCCACAAGAGATTACAGAAACAGCCTCCTAATCAAGTTTCCATTTTTTCAAAACAACAAAATTGAAGTTAAAATAACAAAACAGCAAGGCCATCCAAAGAAAGCAAAATACTGAAGCTAGATCAACTTTTAGATACAAGACAACACACAGAATAGAACTACTTCAGTGACCCTGAGAATTTAAAAAACTGATTTAGATGCAAGTCTTTCATTTGTGGTCAAAATAACAAGTTACAAGGGGGGAAAAACACTGTAGTAATCTTTAGATACCATTTCACATGCTTAACTTTACTTTTCCTACAAGGCTTTAACACAAGCCATCTTCCCAAACATCTCTGCATTGCACTTAGAGAAAACCTTTTTTTTTTTAACTAGCTCACTACTACTAATACTTCAGTGCTGCAGAAGCTCTGAAAATGTTTTAAAAGATGGCGACTAAGGTAAATGTATCACCTTTACCAGACACTCAGTTTACAGTCTACCCAATAATGCTTTAATTATTTAAAACTTTATGAATAACCAAGGCGGGGTAGGGGGGAAGAGAACTTAAGTAAAATTACCACTGACTTTTGAATTAAGTTGTTCTGTCCATCTTAATTTTCTTTGAGGCAGTAGCAATTCAGCTGAATGCAAACCTACAAAAAATTATTGTAAACATATTAATTCCAACATTTAATCCGTATCTTCAGAAACATTTAACAACTATGGGAGGAAGGGGACAGCAATACATCTAAAAATAACATGTAAAATTAGTTACTTCACCACTAGATTTTGTTTTGAATCCTCCCAAAAAGGTTGAGGTTTTTTATAATGTTATACTTGCACACCAGTCAAGACTCGTTTATTCCCGTTACAGAATAGGAGATTACTCTGAACCCAACCTTAAAATATCAACACGTTAAAAAGCTAGTTTGCATAGGCAGTAAACTAATTTTTGGTAAAAAATGTCTGGCTTCCATAAGTGACAAAGAACAGTGGAAGAAAATAAATAAAAAAACCAACCCTGCATTACTGGTACCTTCATGCTGCAAAAATATCTAATACAAATGGAAAGACTGAGATGTGCAAGCCATCCAGCACACTTGTTCAATATGTGTAATAGCTCACTGTTGAGATTACAATAGTAATGTGAAGGCTAAATTACCTACAGATTCAGTCTAGATGTACCTAATTTTTAATCTGCCAGAAAAATCACACTCCTACCTACACATTTTTCCTTGAATGTGTATTCTTCAAATTCTTAAAGAATAATTCCATTAATTATTAAAAACAGCAAGTAAAACTTAGATTCTGCAAGCTCATTTCAACGTTCTCAAAAAAACCAACAACAACTAGGCCGTAAACGTTACTGGCTTAACCATTCTACTGATAAAATGTTTATTCAAGTGTAAATTGATTTATGAACATTGCTACACTTACCTAATCCAAGAGGACCGCACAAGGTGTTAGTACTGCGTGATTTGTATTTTTCCAGTTTGTCTTCCTTGAGATAATATCCCAAGTTCTTGTTGATACTACATTCGTAGCTGTTTGACATAAATTTGACCTCACAGAAATCAGCCACCCATCCTTTTTGCTTACAGATTCCACAAGGCTATTTCCAAAATTTGCCAACTCTCTGTCTTAAAAAGCTTTTTTTTTCTCTGACAGCTTCTTCTCTTGTCTATTCCATATACATATAAGAAGCATCAGCTCCAGGTGAAATAAATACACTTTTTACGCCACGAACTGTGAAGCCAAAAATCCAAATCTCACATCTGAACTGTGGAACATTTCCTAGCTTCGGGTAACAGAGGCATTTGTAAACAACAGCTATCTGGACACCTCCGTACTGCTTATTGGCAACAACATTTTTCAACAAAAATATTAAATAAAATACAAAAGAAAAAATGATAAACAAACGTCTATTAGAGTCTTCATTTAGAAAATAGGTCTCTCTGCAAAATGACAGAAGGCTATGTCAGAAAATCTAAAAAATAAGGTAAGGCAAAAAATACCTGGCATGAAACTTTTCAGCAATGTCTACACAGTGACTCAGGCTGCATTTAACCTGGAGCCAGTTAACAAAACCGGTTACGCCTGTGACTCAGACAGAATGTTGCCTAGAAGATAAAGTATTTAAAAGCAAGAAAGTACTTTATTTTGGCAGCTGCAGTGTTCAGAACTTGATAAATTCAGCCGTGTATCCATGCCATGCGGACAAAAGCATCCACGGGTGAGGTGCTCGGCACCGCTAGAAAGAAAAAAGCTCACGGCTCCAAACTTCCGATTCACTTCTCAGATGCCTACTGATTGTTTCAGAAGCCCTTTCAGGACGAAGCACTCGGACAAAATAATCCCAGAACAGCGTCCGGTATTTCTCCCCTTCCACAGAAGCAACTGCTGCAGGTCGGTTTCCACCTTTTTTCCTCCCTACCAGCTGAAGCAAAAGGCTGCAAACATCCAGGGCTCCCTCTGCAATCCAAACCGCCTACGGTAAAAAGAACCAGAACAATCAGTTTTCCCTTTTGAAATCCGAACCGGCGTTAGACAAACACGTAAACCCGACTCTTAGAAAAGCAAACACACAGGCAACCAGGGAGCCGAACCCGAGCGCAGAAGCCTCGGTTAAACCTTCACTCACATCCCGGAGAAAGCGGCAGGCACGTTTATCGGAGAACGCAGCCTAGCAGCGAAAACGTTCTCCGGCCTCTCATCACGACAGAAGGGGAAAAAAAAAATTAAAAAATAAGAAAAATAGGAAAGAAAGGGGCATTTCTCATTTTATTGGGAAAGACGAACAGGTCTGCAGAAAGCACCCGGGAGGGAGGCGCTGACCTGGGCCGGGGACACCGAGCGGAAGCACAGAACGAGCCCGGGGGAGCGGCGGGAGCCGCCTGGGGAAGCCCCAGCGCGCCCCGGGGGAAGCCTCTC